ATAAAAATCCATAAATTCTATTAATTCTAGCGCACGGTGGCAACCTTAAACGTTAATTCAGCCTTAAAAAAATTTAACAATATGTTTATATATACAATAGAAATGGGAAAATAGCCAGAGAGCAGAAAAAAACATTTTCTTCATTGAATTACGGAACGCTCTTGCGAACTGTTTTCAAAATTTAACGCAAAATTATTTAGAAAAAAAGCCTATTATCTTTCAGTTTTTAAAATTTATACAATTTAAAGTATTTGGTACAACATTAAACAAAATACTAAGATCAAAAATTACTAAAACATGTTAACTAGTTCACTTTACCACTACATTGGGGTAAAGTGAACTACCTTTTCTTTAACTCTTCTGTGCTTGCTACTTTTAATTATTTATTTTTTTAATTTGCATTTTGCCTTGCTGCTTGTTCTTTTTTTAAAAACCTTTATTTTTTTTCATCGTTTAATTTTTCAAACAAATTTTCTGATGTAAGACACTCACCTACATAGCGTCTTTTAATTTTTTTTCGTAGGTCGCTTGTTGTATGAACAAACATCACCCTTTTTGGTCATTAATTGTTCTTTCACTGTTTCTCTTATGGTTTTATTACAATTAAAATAATCTACATCTGATATTAATAGTTGATTTATTTTTTCATTGTTTAGGTATTTGTCTACTGATATTTTAGTTTTGTGAGAATTGTATTTGCTCTTTGACTTCTTAATAAAAAAAATTTCACAAGTATTGTTTTGATCATTGCCATTGGTGTTCAAAGTGATGTTTTAAGAGATGTTATTGTCACATTTATTTGTTTTATTAAAAAAAAAGATGTTTATAGATTATAGAAAGAGTTAACTTGTCAGATGATATAGTAGATGGATCAAGGGGAAAAATTCCAGAGTTGGGAAATGATTTTTCTAAACGAGCTTGCTTAAAAGAGTTATCATAAAGTTTTTTTAGTAAAGATAGAAAACCAGATTTTCCAACCACCATCAGCCTTGACTCGGTGTACCAATTAGCCAGAATTTTAGACTATACATATTTAACTTTGCGTAAGATTCCCACATCATGTGGTTGTAACAGATTTAAACAGTGTGCTGGCAAACACAAAATTGTTATTTAAATTTCAACGGCTTTTTTAACAGTTTCTAAAGAAATATCACTCATACGACCATCAAAAATAAGCCAAATTAGATGCATATGTTTGAAGGTTTACCTACTGAGTATTAGATTTGTGATATCAAAATTAGGTGCAAATGTTTTTTTGTTTTTTTTTTAATTCCTTTTTTTAGTTTACATTCGTGATTTACTTGTAAAATAAACATATAAACTTGGAATCTGGAAGAAGATCATATCGATCTTGTCGCCAGAACCATATAAAAGTTAAAATATAAATATATTATAAAACAATACAGGTAGTTTATAACAAAATAACAATGCAAAACATTTGAAATAATAAAAAATGGTTAAAATAATATCTCAAAAATATTTCAATATATTATCCGTTGAAAAAATGATAACTTTTAACTTGTTTTTAAAAACTGAAAAAGAGATAGATGAATCTAAATTAGACTGGACAATTTTATTCCAGAGATAAGGTGCTCGGTAAAACAGTAACTATATAAAAGCGTTCTTTTATATAGTTACTGTTTCGCAAACTATATTTATTCTGTCATTTAAAGGTAAATAGATCTTTAAAAACATGTAATAAAGGGTTGTTCATACAACAAAACGTAAAGCATAACGTATTGAACAAGTTAAGTTCTTAAACGTTTAATACATTCATATCTTTGAATAAAGGTTTTGTATTTGAAAAACGATTTAAAAAATATATTACTCGCATTGCATGTTTCTGATGGTGGTAAAGACGTTACAACTTACTTTTACCTGTACTTTACCAGGCAATATTTGCATAGTTTATATAGCTATGAATAAATGAGTAGTATAGTTATTTTAAACTATTTTTATTTAAACAATTTCTGACTTTATAGAGGATTCCAATACATTTTGCAACTTAAGTTGATATATAATCGATATGAGTTTTCCATGCCATTATTTCGTCAAGTTAATACCTTGGAATTTTAAAACGGAAATTTTTTTTTATTTCTACTTCATCAATATAAAGTTTAGGTAAATCATTAGACAAAAAACGTTTTTTTGTTAAGAAGAGGAAAAGGATCCATTTTGTTTTGTCAATATTTAAGGTTAGTTTGTTGCATTTAAACCAAGCAGAAGTTGGTATAAGTTCTTTATTCATATTTAAAAAAAGTTTGATAATGTCTTTGTTTGATAAAAACAAATTGGTATTGTCTGCAAACATATGCTCGTAAGGTTCGAGGCCTTATTTAGATCGTTGATGTATACTAAAAAGAGAAGTGGACCAAGGATAGTTTTCCATCGAGATTATTTTTTCATAACGCAGTTTCTAGAATATATTATATTTCTGAAACAAATTTCGAGAAAATTTCTGCAGAGTAAATAACTTATTTAAATAATTACGATGTATATATACAGTTCTACTAAAAGTATTTGAACGCAGTTCTACCATGGAAGTATAAAACAGATGGAAGTTCATCGAGACGCAAACATCAAAGCAATTTCAAGTCGTCTCGGAAGTATGCTTGTAAGTGACAATTAAAAAAAAACAAGTTTCACTGGATAAAAAAATAACAAAATTCACTGAAATGATCTTAATTAAAATATTAAAAAATGAATTATTCTAGGGATATGTTGCAAAGTTTTAACCATTAGTAATTGCAATTATTCAACAAAACGTTTATTAAAACTCGGTAATTAAATAGAACCACTTGATTTTAAAAGCATACGTTAGTTTAAGCTTCTTTTCCTGATTCAAGTCATAACACGACATTTCATAAAAAAGACAACTAAAACAATTTTTAAAAAATCAAAAAAATTGTTTTCTAAATAACTAAAGTTTAAAGTTTTATTAGCTGTATATCATAACTCCATTCATTTTTGTAGTACTCCATTCATTTAATATAAAGTTTATAAAAAAGTTGTTGTTTGCCGTTACGTTGCGCCATTTTTAATGTTTTTCTTGAATATTATTGGCGAACCTTCAATATACTATATTTTTAAATTATTATAAACTTATCTATTTGCGTCTACGTATAAAGATTAAACTACAAATTTAGTAAAGCAGCATTGTATTATCTTCAAAATGCATATAAATAATATAGCTGATATTTGCATTATTAACTACAAATATTAAATTTAATAAAATCTATTTCAAAGTTTGATAACGTAATTTTATAATTTCAGCTAAACTCGTTTTTTTAAAATGGCTTTTACATCAAAACAAAGCTATATTTTAAATATAATTTAATTTTTTTTAATTTTAAAATTTTGTTTTAGGCAAAAATAATGTTAAACTATTAAACAGAAAGTTTTTTAAACATAATAATTTTTAATATTAAAAAATCGTTCACTTTACCCCAGTTTACCCTACGCGCTTTGAGCAAAACGCTTCGCCTTACCAAAAAGTGTTTAACTTAAAATTGGGGGAGGGGGGGGAGTTACTTCATGAGGCTTGGGGGGGGGAGGAGGGATAAACGCCCCTAGTGAAAAGGATATGTTATACGATATAATTAAAAAAACGGCTAGTGTTCTCTAAAAGTACATTGGCTTACAGAAAAAAAATACTTAGAAATAATAAAAAAATTATAAAGTGATAACTTTTTAAACAAGTATTTTATTTACACATTCAATTTGGTTAAATGTTAAACTTTATTTTTTCAATTTGGTTATGAGGAAACTTTTATTCATGTTTATATCTATCCATTTTACATTCACAATCTTTACTTTGTTATTTTTTAAAGATAAAATTTTTGCATTCATGAGATTGATAGGTGATTGAATTTTTGTTTGTTTGATTTACCAGAAAACTATTTAACGGTTTTATATATTATTGTAAGAATAATTTTGTTATAGGAAATAATTCTCTTAAATTCTGCTCTTGCTTATAATTGCTATAGTTACTAATTATTGTTTATAATTAATACACAATAAAAAAATGGAATTTTAACATTTTTTGTCTTTTTATTATATTTATTAAACTGCCACAATGTTGTCCAAAACTACCCCCTCTAGTGTGGAAATTTTGGACAATGAGTAGCTTCGTTTTAAGAAAAAGAAGCATCAATAATTTATTTGAACTAGCTAGGGTTCGCTTTTTTTTAAAGAATAAGTAACTAAAGCATATTTTTCAGCAAAAATTTCAACTATTTGTCAAAAAGTACAAAACCTGTGGTATCTTTTTAAAAAAGATTCCTTATGTGCCCCTTTCTTCCCTAAAAAAAAAAAAAAGAAAAGAAAAAGTCAGTTGTGTTTTGCAAATTTTGCAACATGTAGCTTAAAACTAAATTCTAAACTAAGAGATTAAAAATTTAAATCTATCAAAAAAACTTTTAAAATAAACGATAAAGCTACTATTTGCTTATAAATTGAAGCTTCCTAAAAGTAGCTGAAATTGGCCTGTCCTAAAAGTAGCTGTAATTTGTAATCGAAAAAACTCTATAGAATAGTATTTACTGTGTCAAAATTAAACGGAAAAATCAGTAAGGTATGCAGTGAGTTTTAAGCGTGCACATATTTTAATTTTACAAATTATAATTAATGTACTAAAAAAATATATTACGTTAATAAATTATAATAGTTTTAAATAATTTTAGCAAATAAAATTATAGCTAAGTTTAACAATAAGCGATACATAAAACTAATCAACTCAAACTAATTTTATGATGATTTTACTATTAATGTTAGTTCTTTGATCTACCAAAAACCACAATTATTTAAAAAGTTTTAATTAAATCGAATATTAACGGAATTGATTAACACCACGCATGTTTTACTCAAGTATTATATAGGGAATTTGAGCTTTTGAGAATTTGCGTAATTAAATAGATTTAATCACAAGCTTAGCTTCGCTCGTTAATGATTTTATAACCGTTTAAAAAAATATTGAAGCTGATAAAATGCCAATGCAATCATAATAACAATAATAGGCTTTTCTTCGTTTTTATAATGATCTTTATAACTCAAAGAAAAAAAGAAACCATTTTATGACAAAAACCTAATTTTTGGTTTCATTAAATTATATTTTAAAGTTATATTTCTTCTTTCCTTGATGAAAAAAATTGTCTTAGTATATATACTTGTGCAGCTCCAATAATTACAATAATAGCTGACTGCCCTAAACTCCACATCATTACTTTTTCATTCAAAGATGAGCCCACTAAACGTCCATTTGCTTCACGAATACGATGATGGTTTTGATAAAGTTCTACTACTTTCATCGCATCGTAAATGTTCACAATAGACGTCTCAACTTGAGTCATAGGTGTAGTCGAAGCTCCGGCATCTAAGCGAACCATATTTCCTTCATCGCCTACAACAAAGTCCAAATAAACAATGTTGCTGTACATTGAAAGATCATAAATATTGCTGAAACAAACGCGATATGTCCCAGTTGCATTTGTTTCGAACTTGTAAAAATCATACTCTTGTTGGTTTTTCCTATAAAAAACGTATTGGTTTGGATCTTCGATTGTGACGTCAACGTGAGGCCTTGATCCGCTTATCGGTGCATATTCAACTGAACATTTTGTCTTTTCCCGTATTTCTTGATAAAAGCACTCGTATCCGTTTAAATGAAACTGTATATGACGGCTATCAACAAAATTGGTTATAGTAATAAATAACAAAATTTTAAATGCTGTCATCTCGGTTTACAGCTTATTTTAAAATACACTTTCAACTATTTAAGAAACTAATTAGTATTACTTATAAAAACTTTTAACAAACCAACCTTCGAAAATCATACGCAAAATAACAAAAAGATCAATAAAAGGCAGGTGCTTTAAATTAGCTATGCATAATTTTAAATAGACGTATCTTTGTTTTGATTCGTTTAATAAATAATTTATGCTTAAGCACACGTGTAACTTCGAGATATATACGGTACATCAAGGCAATTGTTAATTATTTAGGTCATCAAGGTATAAAAAATTCACATAAAAAACATAAAATAATAAACTCGCTAGAAAAGTTATACAGTTGCCAAGAAGAATATCAATAAATGTTAATTGATTTTAATAATTTTAAATTTGATTTTTTTTTAAGATTTTTTTTACGTTTCGCGTTAGTTAAGTTACTTTTACGCAATTAAAAGTAAAAAACCTATTAATAAAAAATAATATAAATATTTATTTTGATTATATAAGTTATATATTTTCCGATATTCTAAAATTCTCTTGAAACATATCCTTTTATTCATTAACAAAAAAAAACAGATTAAAGTGCTGTTTTTTCATTGTTGTATAGATTATTTTAAAAATACCTATGTTAAAAAATTAATAAAAAAATTTAAAAGCTAGACATTTTCGGCTCGCGTTATTTGGACCCGCGTTTTTTTTTTAATAATAATTTGATAATCTAAGTTCGAAAAAAATTAATAAAATTTATATTCTCTCGTTAAAGTTTTTACACACTTAACATTTAAAAAAAGAAAGATGTTTAAAGATTTAAAAACCTTTTAAACTTATTTTTAAAACATATTTTACTGTTTTAAACTAAAATATGATTTAAAAATGAAATTCATGATCTTTTTCGAATAAAATTTTCAAATCAAGTACAAGTTTTTGTTGGGACTCTTACCGTCTTCTAGTCTTTTTATGACACTTTGAATATTTTTTACTAACTTCCTACGTATTCACATAAATAAACTATAATAAAAAACCACAGTAAAAGACTTAGTCAGTGAGACCAGTATATATAGGAATTAGTTGATAGTTATCGCTTTAAACTTATAAGATTGACATTCCTAATAGAGTCATTTTAAAAGTCAGAGCACTTGCTTTCTGGCTTTTGCATCAACAAAGTCTTTAACTATTGAATTTCTATCAACGTCTTTAAAGCTCTCTTTTTTAATGATCAAAATTGCTATATCAATCAAACGTTTATGCGTCATACAAAAAGTAAACTTTTAAAATTTTAAGCTTTGAGAAGCTTTGTTCATCTGATGCCACAGAGATGGGCTACTAGTTACTAATGCGGTACAGAGATGGACTACTAGTTATTATGCGGTACCTTACCATTTGAATTCATTATGGTGTTTAAGAGTTCATTCACATAGTTGCTCGATTTTGTCTTTATGATGTAACTTTTAGCACGCTAGCGGAAAACTAAGACATAAAAAGTCATCAAAAACCTTTTTTTTTTTTTTTCAGCCAATCCTATTACAAGTTTAGAAAACTTATCATATGTGAATTGTGTTTAGATCTTTTATAAAAGAAACCTTGTCTAACATGTAACATCAAACGTCTAACATCATATGACAATAATTTATATTGACTCTTCAACTGAATAAAACAAACATCAACTGTAGGAATATATACACTTACCTTGAAACAATCCTCTGCAGTTTCAAGGCGTTCATTTCTGGCCAGCTCGTCAAAAAATTTTGTTGCTATCCTTTTTTCTTTTATTTTACAACTGTGCATCTACCTTACCGTTAGAAGAGAGCGTTATAGCCTGTTGGTGCCAAGTTAATTTGATTTCCAGAGACGTTTGATTTTATAGATAAAGTAAGTATACATAGATAAAATTATAAATTAGAAGCCTGGGTATATATAAACGAAATTAAATAAACTACAATAATAAATTACTATAAACTACTTTAATAAATTAGTTTTGACAATTTTTAAAACAACAAGATTTCCCGAACCATTTAAAAGTTCTTTTTTTGAACATCTTTAAACTATGTACCGACATGGTTTTACTGTTTAGAGAGTTTTATCTATGCTGTTGCTACAAAAATAGAGAGGCTTATTGTCAGCAAAGTTGCATATATCGGAGTCTTTAATAAATAAGATAAATCATTTATAAAAATATTAAAGAAAATTGGTCCGAATATTGAACTTGTTCAATATTCGGACCAATTGGAGGCGCTCCAGATTCAATTCAAAAACAAAGATCCTAATCTTATCCTCTGTTTACAAGCAGATAAGCAGGTAAGCGAGGTAAGCAGGTAAGCAAGGTACGATAAAAACAGTTTAACGCTTTTTTAAAACCATCTAGAGCACTTTTGAGAGAGCTGGAAGTATACTTATTGGACAATAGTTTGACTTTTTTTGAAAGATGGTATGAAATCAGCCATTTTTAAAAAGAAAAGAAGTTCATCTTAAGATGTGCGATTATTAATAGAAAACGTGAAGCTTTATCAAAACGTTTGTTTATTTTTATTTCTGTTTATTATAAAAGACTCCTTGTACACTTTTTTTAATGAAAAAATCTGCCTTTATAGTAATAGGAGATTGTTGTTGTGCTGAAGCCAACATATTACAGTCTTAATATTTTTGTTTTAATGGCCACCAATGTCAATTGACACTCACTTTCATATGATATTAACGTTTTTTCGATTTGATCCTCAGTCAATTTTTTTAGTTTAATACATATACTTAATTTGATATTATTAATGTATTCAAATTCTAATTGCGATTTTACGATTTCTTAATTTTGAAAAGGTGTAATCTTCTTTTGTAGTATTTAATGGTTTAATAATTCTAGTAAATATTATCAGATATAAATTAATCAAACATAAAATTTTTGAGAAAAAAAAATTGAATTGGTTTTATACTTCTAATACTAGAATGGTTTTCATATTTAATAATAAATTAAACAAGGTTATTAATATTGTAAGGAAAAAGCCGAGAAATCTCTCTACAACAATTTAAATTAGCTTTTAAATTAGCTCATAGCTTAATTAAAAAGCCCTACTATGACTGTTTGATCGTTGATTGACTGTTTGATTGTTGGTGATTTTAATTTCCCAAATATGAAGTCGTCTAAAAATGGTATAAAATTTTTCAATCCAAACAATTTTAACGAGTATGAATTTTGAAACATTTACCAAAACAGCCTCTTTACACAACACATCATATTCCCTACTTTCCAGACAACCTATGGTTCTCCAAAAAGTAAAATATTAAGTCCAAAATTAAATTTTTAAATTTGTCTCCTAATGCTATACTAGGTTATAACACTAAGGGTCACTTTAGTATTACCTGGAGAATCTTAGTCTCAGAACTACTACCCGAAAACAAATCTCAATTGTTTAGCTACAACAAAGGTGATTATATTTCAATATCAAATTTTGTTGCATCAATCGATTGGGATACTTTATTTCTACATAAAAATGAGGATCAAATGTTTAATATATTAATTTCTTATTATCAAACTGCTTGCGGATTTTTTATCCCCTAAAAAAGTGTGATCGTTGGATTACTCTACATATCAAAAGCTTAAACCGAGCAAAAAAATTGCTTTGGCATACTAACTGTTCAACTAAATGGAAGAATAAAGATCTGAAAACAAATTGAAATCGTCTTAATCGTTCCGTTAAAGCTGAAATATTTAAAGCAAAAATATTACATGAAAAAGAAATAATATCAAGATCTCAGAACAATCCAAAACTATTCTACAAATACATTAAAAACCAACTAAAAATTAAAGATAAAATTTGTTCTCTCAAAAATGCTTCAGGAAAAATTACTCTCAATTTAAATCTATGATTACTCATAAAAGCTCCAAAAATTTTCTATTGTTAAATAAAAGTGAAGTTAAACCTAAATGAAATTATAATAACAACTTGGATTTCTCTAATGCAGACATTATTAATGAATTTACCACTCTAAACCTTTACAAATCTTTCGAACCTGACGGTTTGCACCCTTTAATACTTAAGATATGTGCCAAAAGCTTTGCAATTCCGCTTACAAAATTCTTCTATCAATCTTTTAATTCTTGAATAGTACCAACTCTCTGGAAATTTACAAATATTAGTCTGATCTATAAAAAAAAAGGAGATGGGCTTTAAGCTTGGGAAATCTTCAATACTACGAAAGACAAAAAAAGACTAAATCTACCATCACTTGAGTTTCGGCGCCTCAGATGCAATCTTATCCAAAATTTTAGACTAATACATTGATTTGAAATAATTAATAATACATATCAACTAAAATTTAATAACTCATGGTGACCACGTGACACGGGGTCACCATCTTAAAATAAGACGTGAATAGTATTTACGTCTTATTTTAACATATTCATTGAATATGTTCCAAACTGTCTTCCAAGACACAACCAACTATATAATAGATCAGCAAAATACTGTAATGAACTACCCGAGCAAGTAACTTTATACTCAACTGTACATTGTTTTAAAATTAAATTAGATCATTGGTTGAGGATAAAATTCAGAACGAATATTTATAAAACTGGTTGTTTATAGTAGGGTGTTTTCCCTGCTTTCTGTATGTATAAATGTATGTTTTAGGCTACAACTATAATAATAATATAATAATAATAATAAAGATGATGAAACGTTTGCGAAATAGAAGTTTAATATGTTAGACATTTTGTAGTTATCAGATATCGCTTATCCATTTTTAAATAACGTTATGCGCTCGTTTGAATTTATAGATTTACTTGATAGGAAAGACTTTCACAGGGATGCGGAAAGATCTAAGAGAATTAGTATTGCTAGAGTACACTTTTTTTACTTTCCAATTTAAGTTCACTACATAATTCCTTTGTTTCTATAAAAAGACAAAGAAATGTCAGATTAGCGAGCCTGAGACTTGTTTTTTAACTTTGAGCGTAGCATAAACGCTTTTCTAAGCTCTTTTGTAAAAATAATTTATCTTTACAACTGCCGAATCCAGCATTTTTTGATTGGGATGAATTTTTAGGGCTTTTTTGTTCCCTGTCTCTAATCATTGCAATTTTTTCCAAAGCATCACTATTTGACATAAGTACAAAAATAAAAATGTTTAGAGTATGCTCCATGTCTGGAAGTTAGCTATCTCAAACACCAAAAAATGCTGGATCCGTCACTGATCTTTTTATCTCATAGAACTTTAATTTTCAAAGGTGTAAATAGATTTATAGTTTTGCAAAAAATAACCTTAAATTGTAATAGCATTTTCAGGCGTGTTTTCTAACTTGATAATGTTAGAAAACACGCCTGAAAATTAAAAATTTAATTATCAATTTTAAAAAAAAAACAATTATTTAAAAATAAAATTATCATACTTTTCTTATTAGTATGCATTTCTCCCTATTTTTTCTTCCTTTTTTTTTATTTATTTTTATTTGTTAATATAAACAATCCAATTAGCAGCGAGCGTCTGTTGTAACTTTTTAAAACAAACAAACAATCAAATTGCCGAATGTGAATTGAAAGCCATTATATTTAAATTTGGTTTTTGTCTTTAAATTCGAAAAATACAGTATTTGCTATAAAAAAAAAAATGCCAAAAAAGAAAACTGGTGCAAGGAAAAAAGCTGAAAAACAAAGAACAAGACAAAAAGATATTAGGTCAAGTGATAGAGAAATAACAGAATGTCCTGGGAATTTCGTTATGGTATCGAGATTTTGTGTTGTCTGTTATTTGTTAAATAAATGGAAGAATTACCAATTATTTTTTTGATTTTTTTATAATGCTAAATTTCACTTGGACAATTATGTGTCCGTAAAGTTATTAAAATATAATAATTTATTATTAACACTATAGTATAAATTATACAAACTATAGCATAAAGATATTAAACTTGTATGAACCATATAAAAACTATAATAAATAAATTATGAATATAAATTGCATAAATTATGGATAGAAATAGAAATTACTTGAAGAAAAGGAAATTAGTAACTTAGCAAATTTTCCTTTCTGTTTTTAATTTATATACCTAGTTATAGTTTTTACCCCTCACAATTTATATTCATAATTTTGCATTATGTGATGTTAGAAGAGTTTGATATTGCTGTTAATGGGGAAAATTCTAACTTTAATAATGTTTAAGTTTTGACCAAAAAACTTATACTTTAAAACTTAGAAAATTACTTTTTCTATCAATTATTTATCAATTACAATTTATATAAATTATTTTCCTAAAGCTTTAAAATTCTTTAAAGTACAACCCTTTGCTGACAATGCAAACTTTATTTACTTAATTCCATCAAAAAAGTAATGATTTGTAAAAGCAAGCAAAAAAGTATAGACATGTAAATCAATGATAAAATTAAATGGGAAAAAGCTTTATTGTAAGCAGTTTATAAATTATGTTATAAATTATGTTTTTATATTAACGAAACACTTTTAAATAAAGTAGCAATTTACTAATAATAGTTTTTTTTTTTTTAATATAATTGACAGTTGTGTATATTTTTTTAATTTATAATATATAAATGGTTTAAGCGCGCATTTCTGTAATAAATGTTATTAAAAAATAAAAAATTGTTTTGTTTTTATAAACTATGACATTCTACGACTACGAAAGTCTCTTTCACAAATTTTAATATAAGAATAATTAAAGTTAATACATTTAAAAAGATAAACAAAATTTTGTTGAAAAAAAAAGTTTTAGAAAACCATTATAAATAAATAAGTTTGATCTTAAATGCTTTTATATTATCAAAGCGCTTTCCAATAAAGTAACAAAACACTTCTAATTAATTTTTAAAATAAGTATTAATAAACTGTTGTTTTTTTTTATTTATGTAATTATGTATTTTTTATGAGAAATATTTATCTTTTGAAACATATTAAATAAATAAAAAAAAGTGCAAATGTTAAAACAAAGATTGAATTAGTTTTTTTAATGCGTAAATTAATTAGACTAAAATATATATATATATGTATATATATATATATATATATATATATATATATATATATATATATATATATATATATATATATATATATATATATATATATATATATATATATATATATATATATATATATATATATATGTATATATATATATATATATATATATATATATATATATATATATATATATATATATATATATATATATATGTATATACACTTGCTAAAGCGTGTTTTGATAAGCATTTGCTCACTTTTTCTGCTTACCTTAAGCTATACAGTTTTTTTCAAAAAAGAAGAAGAAAAAACGAAGAATGATGAATGAAACGATTGCTTCCCTATCCCAAACCCTCAGTCGATGTAGCTGCACTCCACTGCGAGTCAGGCTATTTGTCAGTTGATGTATGTACTGAAGCCCCCAGCAGCAGGCTATTTTAGTATGACATCAGATTGCTTACCTTAGTACGCAATACTATTTGTATATATATATATATATATATATATATATATATATATATATATATATTGTGTTTTTGCTTTAACTAAGTATTTTTTTTTTATTTTCTCTTTCGTTAAGATTTTTTTTTATTTTACAATTTTTTTTAGATAAGTTTAGGTAGGTTTTTGTAGTGCATTTTTAAATTTTGAAAGTATGTCAAAAGCCGTGGTCAAATCGTTAAAGCATATTTTTTGCATAGTCATAAATGACGTGCAATCACACGCCTTCCTGTTAAAACTATATATATATATATATATATATATATATATATATATATATATATATATATATATATATATATATATATGGGCAATTCCGCAAGAAAGATAAGAAGAAAAAAAAAAGCAATAAAGTTATGAAAACACATACCAAACTCAATAACTCTTTTTTTTTTTTAGCTATTTAAAAATACTTTTAAGCAAAAAAATCATTTTATACCACAGCATGGTTTTAAAGTTGTAAGGGTTGTATAAAGGTGCTTTGATGCTTATTTACAGTCCTGTTGTGTAGCATTAAAAATTGTATCGTATTTCCATAATTGTGACCTTCGATGTTAAATGCTTTTTTTTAACATAATATACATGATTGTTATTAATCATTTACACTTTTTTACTTACATCATTCATTGCATTGTTTTATTTGATGTTTTTAAGCATTGGATTTTTCGTTACTACCATCATGGTTATGACTGTCATGGCAGAAAAAACATAAAAATGCTTGTAAAACTTTAAGTAAAAACTATGAAACTCAGCATATAATAATATGAATATGTGCTAAATACACACACCAAATGGTTTTTTTATTTACCATGCTATTTGCAGCATTAAGTCTGACAAAGTTGTTTTGTTCAGAAGTGCTAAAAAGTAACCGTTACAACCGTCACACTAGGTAGAGTTAATTTTTGGAAAAAGTTGAAGACTTAAATGCTATAACTTTTACAACTAAACTATATGATAGTATTTCACATATCTGGAAAGTTTGAAGTCATTTCCATTTTCGTTTCATTTTTAATAGATTAAAGAGTGTCAAATGTTACGACTGCCACTCCCACGGAGTCGCCCATAAATAGCTTAAGGCGATATTTCATGTCATAAAATTCTCTTTATTTTTTAAGGACATTAACATTTTTAAATTACTGCAATAATATTAACTACTGCAAAACCAGTTAAATGTTATTTAACGACTTTTTCATTATTTCTATAAAGGAATGTTTATTTTCTTTTATTTTTTTAAATATTCATCAATTAAAGTTAGTATTGTATTTAAAATAATATTTGGTACCAACAAACTTCTTTCTTTTCTTGACATTTGCATAAATGAATTAAAATATCGGGTGGACACGGAAAAATCCGGTCAACTTTAAAGTGAGATTTTTCTAAAACCATAAATGGTTTTTATTTCTTTTGTTTTTTTAATTAAGTGTTACTTCGATATCTTTAATTGTGTTGATAAACTTTTGTTTACAAATCAATGATTTGCAAAATGTTTCGGAAACAAGTTGAGATGCTTAAAAAAGTTATTAATTTTTTTTGCAAAAATCTATCAACTTTATATCGCTTGATTGCTAAATGTACAAATGTCCTAAAATCTACAGTAATAGAAATTATAAAAAATTTTAAGACTACTCAAAGCTTCAAAGGAAAACTTGTAAGTGGAAGAAAGAAAACTTTTCATAAATCCAAAAAGGTAAAGTTGATTCTTAGTTCAATAGCAAGAAATTTGAACCTGTCGCAGCAAGATCTTGCAAGAAAGTTCAAGACTTCGCATTCTTATACCAAAAAAGTACTTTAAAATGCTGAAATAAAGCATTTTATTAGAAAAATACACCTAAAAAAAGCCTAAATGGTGAGATAAAAGGAATTCGACGACCCAAAAAAATATACCAGTCGATAATCAATTTAAATATATTTGACGAAAAATTTTTGCAACCAAGTTCCTTGTGTAGCAAGCAATTTGTAGCTGTGTTATGCAGTTTTCTTGTTTTGTCACTAAAAAGACCTTGACTGCTCTACATCAAAGAATGCCTCCAAAAAAGAATTTTGACATTTATAAGAAAACATAAATGCCGATAATAGCTTCTCACTATTCTAATAAAGTTCTAGAGTAGTGCAAAGATAATAATGTGAAATTGTTCCAAAAGATGTGAATCCTCCAAATTGTCCTAAAGAACGCAAGTTTGAAGATTATTGGGCAATAGTTAAAAAAGTTATTTGTAAAACAGGTGGAGTAACAAAAAATAAAAAAGGACCAAAAAATATAGATTAATGCCACCAATAAAGTGAAAAAAGAAAAAATCTGCAAAATGATGGCATCAACCACTATAAAAATCGATCTCTTGTTAAACAGACCATCAAGCCCCTTAAAATTAAGTTGAAACCCTAATTGATGTAAACAAATTTGATATAAAAAAATTGAAATAAAAAGCATTTATGGATTTAGAGAAATCACAATTTATAGTTGATTGGATTTTTCCATTTTTTGAGTTTTTTAAAAATGGTTATTTCTTAAATTTCTAATTGCGGCTTTGCAATTACAAATGATTTTTTATTTAAAAAAAATTAGAGTAACAAAAAAAACTGCATTAATTTATTTAATTTATTTATAGTTTATTAGTTTATTATTTTATTATTAAAATTACATCGCTGAATATATCATTTATTAAAAAATAATGGTTCCGATTTAACTTGCGTTATTAAAAAAATGTTTAACTTTATGTTTTCTTTTAAAAACAAATAAAATTTAAAAATTGAACAATATTAAGTAATTTTTAAATAGATTTGACAAGTTAAAATCAAGCATTAACTCTAATTTTAATAAACTTAAATACATTTTTAAAATCAAAATTAAATTATATATTTTTTAAATCTAAATTAAATTATATATTTTTTATCAGAATATATTTTTATTTAATTAATTTAATTTATTTAATTAATATATTTTTTTATTTAATTAATTTCAAATTAAATCATATATTTTTTATCAGAAATTATGTTTTTATGATCTTTGCTTCGAGCTTAAAAAATCAATCATTACAATTAAATAAAAATAAACTTTTTACTAATGAAAAAAACTTAAATTTTATTTGAGTTTTTTTCATAAATAATTATTTACTAATAAAAAAATTTATTATTTAAATTTATTATTTAGATAGCTCTTATATCAAACATAATTGTCATTCAAACTTTTGTAACAAATATTTTTACATGAATGTCATTCAAAAGTTAATATGACTTTTTTTAAAATTAAT